TCAACATCACCATATTCAATTCGATTGGGAGCCTAAATAAAATAAAATTTGATTGGTCGAATATACAAATCAACGATCGAACATTCAATCAATCAATTTGGAAAGCACCTCAGGGTTATAACCAAAAAAAAAAAAAAAAAAAAAAAAATTGACCCCGTTTATTCAAACGTGACAACGCACACACACACACAAACAAACAAACAGGCAACAGATTTGACAACAAAAAAAAAATCAATTTTGAAAATTTCAACAAAACATAAAAAAACACAATTCAAATCAATCCCTACCAGACAAATACATAAATTTTATTGATTGATTTCAACAAAATCACATATTGTGGAAATCTTTCGAATAACAAACAAACAAACAAACAAAAATATTTAAACACCTTATATTCATATATATATAATAATCAATAATTTGACTTAATGATTTTGTTTTCATCATTAAATATTGAAAAATAAAATGACTAAAAATAATAAAATGAAAAACATTTGACAAATGAAAACAATTTGTCGAATGTTTTTGTTTTTTCTATACCGACAATTGTGTCTATGTGTGTGTGTGTGTCGTGACGAGATTTTTTTTTCAGATTTGATAATTAATTGATTTTCCATAATTTCCGGTGTTTTCCTTTGTAGATGGATAATCATTCATTCATTCGTCACTTTATATTAAATTAAAATCATTGATGATTTGACTATTTATTGGTCGAAATAGTCGTTTTTATTTTTTGTTTCATTCGAATACATTCGATTTTTTTTTGCATTTGATTGTTGATGGATAGGAAAAAGCCTCATTTTTTTTGTTATCAACAATCATCGAATGTGTTGAAAACATAATAATAAAAATAATTTTTTTTAATTGATTAATTAATTAACAAAAAAAAAATTGTTGAAAAAATATTTTTTTTTGTCATGTCATATGATGATACATGATGTTGATTATAATTATGAATTTTGTTTGTGTTTATGTGTCTGTGTGTGTGTGTGTGTGTTTTGCTCACATCCGGCCTAAACTATTTTTGTTGTTGTCGTTGTTGTTGTTGTTGTTGTTTATCAAGTGTTGATCAATGTTTTTTGCCAATTTGAAAATTTCACATTGTCTATTATAAACAATGGTAAACATCGATGACACAATTGAAATTGAAAATGGCCATCATTTATTTTTGTTTTTTTTGGCAAAACACCAACAACAACAATCAACAATTTTGAAGATGAAATTTTCAAATGAAATCTATCTATAAACATTATGATGATCAAACCACAAAAGAATCATCATTCATTGAATCGTTTTTTTTTTTGACATATTTTTTTTTCATTTCATCCATTGCTCATCAACATATATTCAAACATCAATGAGCAGTGACAAAAAACCTATCAACAACATATATTTATTTATCACTGAAAAAAATATTTTTTCTAGTTCAGAAAATGGAAAATTTATTTATTGCAAATTCATGTGTATGTTTTTCATTAATTTTCAACTCAAAACGGTGTTTTTGCAATTGGTATTTGCAAGTTTTGTTGATTTCTTTACCATTTTGAAATGAATTTCCTTGAATCCACTGATCGCACGATACAAACACACACACACACACACACACATCATCCATCCATCCATTAATCTATCGAAAGACGAAAATTCAATTTCACCCTGAACTTCTTATTGATGATATTGATAAACATAAACAACAAAAACAACGACGACAACGAAAAAAAAACGAATACATAAGAAATGTGTAAGTGTGTGTGTGTGTGTTTTTTTTATTTGTTTCAATGAACATTCTTGCAATCTTTAATTTTCTTCTTTCGCTTGCATTCGATTATATTATCGTCATCGTCATTATCATTTTTTTTTCTTCAAATAAACGACGTTTATTATTTGCCCGTTCATCTTACACACACACACACCGAAATGCAGCCAGGTATATTTATATATTACCTCTATGTAAGAAAAGTTTCTATATTTTTATCATTACCATACCTTAACTTATCATTTAATTTACGTGCTTTTAAGCGCATAATTTATTAAATATACTACCCTGTGTGTGTGTGTGTGTGTTGGTATGTAGTTGGATAGTTGATGATAATTTTGGTTTGTGTTTGTTTGTCTTGAATATGTATATGTTTTCAGTGCTGATGATGTTTGGTGATGATAGTAGTGGCTGTATTTTTGATGGCTGTAATAGTGATGTGTGTGTGTGTGTGTGTGTAGACATTGATTGGATTCTTTTTTTTCCCAATTCATTCAATTTGACCATCATCATTTTTTTTTCATTAATAATTAATTTTATTTATTCATCAAATGATCGATGGAAATATCAAATACACAACCAACAAAATATTCTGTTTTTGTTTTTTTTTTTTTTTTTTTTTTTTTGGAAAAAACCATCCTAAAATCGATTAATCGTTGGCAATCTGAAATTATGTGTGTGTGTGTGTTTTTTTTAATTTCGAAAAATTTAAATCGCCAATTGTGCGCGAGATGTGTGTGATGACAAATAGGTCAAAAATCAATGACGGTAATGGTGAGAACAATATATATCTAATGTAATAATTTTCAATTTCTGCTGATTCAATTCATCAAAACAATTTTTTTTCCATCATCCAGGTATGTTTCTCTTATTGATTTTTTTTGATTCACTGATCATCAGCTGAATTGATTATTGATTTAATCGTGTGTGTGTGTGTGAGTATGTATCCTGTCTTTTTTTTTCCAAAAATTCCATTCAATCAATTGTTTTTTTTTCAACTTTCATATCCTTGAATTTTTAATCGATTGTTTTTTTAAAATTGACCTTGATGTTCTGTACGCGTGACCGGCTTATATTTATACTGTTGACCGGAAAACCAAATTGCTCGACCTTTATTAAATTCATTCGAAAAAAATTTTTTTTCGTTCATTTTAAATTCATCATCATCATTACTTGATTAATAATAAATAAATACCATCTTTCAATGTTTCAAGCACTCACATACACATAAATCATAGTTACTTTTATTTTGCAATCCAATAACCAATATATACACAACACAACCACCATATCGATGATTATGATGATGATGATGAAGATCCTTGAAACATCATCAAGAAAAAAAAAATTTTTTTTCGTTTCCAAAAAAAGAGGGTTCTCATTTTGCAAAAATTATTAACAGTGCTGGTGGTAATAATTGGTAGTTGTAATTGGAAAATGAAAACATTTTTCACTTTACTACTATATATAACCAAAAATGGCTAAATTCAATCGCGATTTTTGAATGTTTTTGAAAAAAAAAAATTTTTTTTTCTTTCACCAAAAAAATCAATCAACTTGTAATTATTTTTATTTTCATGTATATATTTATATAATAATAACTTAATGACTGGTTGAATAACAATTCTCATTGATCATTCATTCATTCATTCAATTGTCAATGTGGTAATGTGGACACTTCTGGTAAATTTTTTTTTTTTTTTTAATGGATAATCTTTAATTCTTTTGATTGACATCTTTGACAAAGGCACACATACTAACAACAACAACAACAATTGATCAATATTTCAATGATTAAGCAATCAATCATTATCATTTGCATCATCATCATCATCATCATTAGACTTTATTATTTTCAGGAAAAATTCATTTTCATATATTATGTTTTTTGGTTTTCCTTGTCTATTTCATCTATCTGCTGATGGATTGTTTTTTTTTTTGTTTTGCTGTGTTTTATTTGAAATTTTTGAAAATTTTCGATAATGATGAAACAATTTTTGATTCTTTTTTACATATTTATTTAAATTTTCCCTTTAAAAAAAAGTGAAGAAGATGATGATGAACAAAAAAAAAAATAAAAAAAAATTCAAAGGCAAGGTCAATTATTATTAGCAACAAGTTTTCATTTATCATTCATTTTAAAAATTTCGTCGTCGTCGTTAAATAACTGAAATGAACGCATCTACTATATGCTTCATTGATTATCATTATTATTTTTTTTTTTTATATCTCAAACATTTGTGTAAATTATTCCAATATTTTTTTTACGTTAATTAGTTCATTATAATCAAGATAAATATCAGAAAGAAAAAAAATTTTTTTAATTATTCGCAATATTTAACAATTTTTTTTTGTTCATCAGTGAAAAAAAAATTGATTGATTTTTCACTCCAATGATCGATGATGATCAAATAATTCTCATCGTCGATATTTTTTTTTTTTCGGTGATTGATCAATGATTTTGTTGTTGTCTATCTATCTATAAACAAACTTTCTGGTGAGAATTTCTTCATTTCATTTATTTTATTCAATTGTCAAATTGTTGCTGTCTATTCGTTTATATATTGTCTACTATTTTGCATATTTTTTTTTATCCATTGGATCATTATTATCATTATTATTGGTATGCACAAGTTTTGTTGCATTTCTTAACATTTTCTTTTTCACCACGGATGATTGGCTATGAGTGTGTGACAGTGCCCAAAAAAAAAAAAAATCATTTGACATTGGTTTTTCTTGAACATTTTTTATTTGTTTTTTGCCATTTTGCCAAGTTTTTTTTCAGCTTTCTCACTCTCTCTCTCTTTCTCTAGTCGATTCATCTTCTTTATTCTTCTTTTCATTCAATTGACGAAGAAAATATTTTAAATTCAAATGTGCTTCAGATGCCATCATCGATCAATCGATCGATTGATGGTTCGTTTGTTTTTTTTTCGTAAGTTGTCTACGATTTTTGTGGTTGTGGTGATGGTAATGGTGGTCAGTTATGGTTTTTTATTCACACATATTATGGCTATGGTGGTGATTGTTTCGTTTGTTTAATCAATTTTCTTTAATCGATTCTTTTGTTTTTTGTTTTCTCTCTCTCTCTCTCGACAGTTTCAAAATCAAAAATTAAATCGAAATGAATAATAATAAAAAATTTACCGGTTTTATTGATCAACCATCATCAATATTATCATCACCACCAACGGAAACATTACATCATCATCAATTTGATGAATCAAAAATTTTACAACCACCAATGAAAATTTTTCGTTCCACATCTATATCGATATCAAATAATAATAATAATGATTATCTTCAATATCAACAACAACAGCAGCAGCAGCAACAACAACAGCAGCAAAAACAACATCGATCACAATTACCACAATTATTTAGTGGAAAATCATGGGCTTTTGAACGTGAACGTAATAGTTATAATTATTATCGTTCAGAATATCCAAATGATCACAATAATCATGATGATGGTGGTAGTGAAGAATTAGAAGAACAAGATGAACAAGAACGTTTAGCATCATTGGAAGCATTACGTTATGCATTACATCATGCACCATTCTGTCGTAATATGCATACATTAATGTCTGTACCGAATGAAGAATGTTTTGAAATGATTGGCATACCGACTAAATGTGCTATTCGTATTGAATCATTTTCATATGAAAATATTCTCGATAATATTAATTTAGAGATACCAAAAGGAAAAATATATGCATTACTTGGTTCGGCAAATAATGGTAAATCATTGTTGCTTAAATGTATTCTTGGTCGTATACCGGTTTATAATTCACAAGCAATCGAAGTATTTGGACAACGACCATCACTATCACCATTATCAGCTATTTGTGTTGGTTATATGCCACAACAAATTGCTTTACATCCAGAATTGACTATTAAACAAACATTACTTTATTATGGACGTCTTTATCAACTACCACCAAGTATTATTTGTCAACGAATACAAATGTTGAATAATTTTTTCATCGAAACTAATCATAAAAATCATCATCATCATTATTCATCATCATCATCAATACAAACATCTGTCCATACATTAGTAAGAGATTTAGATCAAGGAAATCTATGGCGTCTTTCATTGATGGTAGCCATCATACATTCACCACCATTATTATTGTTAGATGAACCAACTGATAATGTTGATCCATTCGTACGATCAACAGTTTGGTCTTATCTGGAAAAATTATCTGAAAAAGATGGTAAGTTTTTATCTATTGTCATTGTTATCTTGTTGATAATCAATCATTTTTCCATTGTTTTCAAATGAAATTATTCATTTATCAGGAATGACTATTGTATTTACAACAAAACATCCAGAAGAATTATGTTATGCATATAAAGCTGGTTTAATGCGTGATGGACATGTTTATATTGAAGATCGTCCAGAAGAATTATTAAGAAATTATCATTGTCATACATACATACAGATGTATAATAAATTTTGCATGTCCAACATTCCACGGCGTTTACGGCCTTCAATTGCTTATTATGAACAAACCAATAATGATGGCCAAGGATTTTCAGGAAATTTAACAATACCACCACCATCACAATTAAGTTATCAAACAACACAAAGTCAATCATTAGGTGAAGCAGATAATAGTAGCCATAATTCCAACAATTTTCATGATATTAATCACCAGCAACAACAAGAACAACACTTTGATGGTTCAGGATCTGATATTACAGCTACGGTAGCAAATTCAGTAGATAATAATAAAGATAAAAATACCATTCATTCATATGATGGTGATGATAGTAATTATTCTGGTGATTCAATGGATGTTGAAGATCTACAACGTACATCACTTCCATTACCAATGGCACAATGGCCAATTGCTGAACGTCGTCGTACAGCATACATATCACATTTATTTAATTTTGACTTTAAACGTCTTTATTCATTGGTTTTAAAGAATTATTTCGTCATAATTGGAAATATTCACCTCATCATATTGTTTTATTTTATATTTCCAGCTATGCAAATAATTTTAGTTTGTTTTCTATCTAGTAGACCATTCACTTCTATAAATAATCTACCTGTCACTATTGTTATTGCTCAATCACATGATGTAAATAATCCACGTATTGAACGTTTAATACGTTATACGATTGATAGATCAATTTTCAAACCGGAAATTATTGTTGGCGATATAAATGAATCAATCAAACGTATACGTCGTGGTGAAACATTAGCCGTTATTGTTCCGTGGCTCATTGAACAGACGGTAATTGATTTTAAAAATTCTAGTCAAAATAATGATCGTACACGAGATGAGAATAGTGGTGGCAATAATTACAATCATGATAATGATGATGAAGAAGAAGAGGATAATTTTACCTATTGTCAAAAATTAATTTATAATTGGCGTATGGGTTTCAATTCAACAATGTTTGGCCTTCGATTACATTTGGATGGTTCAAATTTTTTTATCAATTATCTTATCAATTTTACATTAGCTGATTCAATGCAACAATTATTAACGAATGATGAACGTATGCATGAATTAATGCCATTTGATTGTCCACAAATATATCATTCAATGAAACAAAATCATATACCAATTTCATTGGATATACCAAATTTTCTATCGCGATCATCTCCTCCTACTAATGAAAAGAATTTACGACTTCGTTTCATTGAATTCATTTTACCAGGAACAATATTGGCAATAGTTTTCGCTTATGCATTAGTGTTAACATCATATTTATTTATCAAAGAACAAATGGCCGGATTACAGGAACGTTGTTTGACGGCCGGTGCATCCGGTATTGAAATTCTCATCTCTCATATGATCTCTCAATCGGTTTTATTTTTCTTACAAGAATTATTATTAATATTCCTTATGAAAAATATGTTCGGCATTCCACAACGATCAATTCGATGGTATGGACCCGGATCATTAATATGGATGCTTGGATTTATGGGCATTGTTGCCGGTTTATTTGTTGGTGTTATATGTCCTCGACCACGTTCGGCTGCATTTTTCATTTCAGGTATGTCAAGATTTCGTTGAGTTTTTCAATCATTGCTTCTTTAATTATTTTTTTTATTTATTTATTTATTACACACAACAGGAATTTTCATGCCTGGTTTCATTCTTTCCGGAATCATATGGCCAGTAGAATCATTACCAAGATTTTTTTATTATATAAGCCTATCATTACCATTAACACAACCAATAAATTCATTACGTTCAATTATATTTCGTGGTCTTGATTTTCGTATTGGAAAAATTACAGCTGGTTATACAATATCATCAATTTATATCGTAATATTGGTTCTATCTACATTGATTATATTTAAGATTAAAACCTCTTCTTGAGCTTCAATTCAATATTCAATTCATTCACTCATTCATTCAAACAAACAAACAAACCCAAATGTCTTGTCATTTTGTGATTTTTTTTTCTTCAAAATATAAAATTCAACAACAAAAAACAAACATCAAACATTCAAAATTTCACTTTCCCTTCTCAATCATTCATTCATTTAATGTGATTATAAATGTGCCAATAATTCATTGTTTAGTAATATTTAGTGTTTTTTTTCGTGGAAAAAAAATCAAATTTTTGTTCAAATGAATTATAAAAACAAAAATAAATTTTTAGAAAAAATGAAAAATTTTGAAATTTTTATCAACATCTACCAAAAAAAAAAAAAAAAAATGAACAATGATTTTGAAGAATATGTAAGCGACAAATTGAATCATTGAATCGAAAATTTCTTTTCGTTTTTTTCCCCACAGATTCAAACGAAACTTGGACCAATCAAACAATATGATTCTGAAGATTTTTTACAATTAATCGCATTCATTTCAGAATATTCATATCATTTTCGTATTGCCGAGATGCTTAATATTCCATTCCGTCAATGGTTATGGTTCATAATCGGTTTGTTAATCGGTGAAATCATAATCCTATGGATAATAATGGCCATACTTGTTGAACGTTTATATGTATTGGCTGAATTTGAAAATGATTGCCAAAGACGTTCGAAACAGCAACGTCGTTCAGTGTTGTTGCCACCAAATATGAAAATTAATTTCAATACAAATAATAGTAATGATGATGATTTACAATCCAAAAATTATTCATCATCACAATTATAAAATATAATATAATCATCATCATTTATATATTTAGTTCAAACACACATAACAAAGAAAAAAATTTGATTGAGTGATGTGAAAAATAATTTTGACTATTGAAAAAAAAGTAATAAAACATTACTATACTACTGCTACTACTAATTCACTGTTGGCATAAAATAAATCTTGTTGTGTATTTTGTAGCAATTTTTCTTTTTTGTTTATTGAAGAACGACACCAACTTTTTCCGGTTTCATGGGTGGACATTTCCAATTGAATAGATAATAATGTAAATTACCATCGCCTTCACCAAATTTTAGTTCTTTTAAAAACACTTCATTATCTCTTTGATTGAGTGCATTAAATACATCCAGATTAGTCTTGTTGAAAAAAATAGAGAGAAAAAAGAGAAAGGTAAAATTAATTCAATTGGTTTTTTTTCAATACATACATTTTTTGCAATAATCAATGCATCCTGCATCAATTCGAGCAATGAACAATGTTCACTTGGTACATTATAGAATGAATATGCGGCACGAATCTCTTTATATTGTTTATGATCCATAACTGTTGATGGTAATATATAAAAACTAAAAAAACCGATAATTTCTTTCTTTTGATCTGTTTCATTAGTTCGCTGAAAAAAAAAAAAATGTAAAATTAATTAAAGTTATTTAGAAACATTGATAATGATTATTAACCTCAACAACATATGAATCGACAACATCTGTTTTAGGTAATAACCAATGAGCCATTTCTTCTTCGGAAAACAAAGGCACCAAATCAAAACGTTCCATATATTTATTCATCAATGTTTGAACCTGTTTAATATCATTACGTTCGAATCGACGTAAACCTGACAATTTTGGCTGTTCAGGTAACCGATATAGCTTTACAGTACGTGGAATTGTCATATTACGTGTCAGATGTGAAAAACCAACTTCAATCAATTTTTTCGGATTCAATGATCGATGATAATATCGACATGTTGCAATTGGTTTCGGAAGAAATACACCGGCAGTATATAATGCTTGAAATATTCCTGTCAAACGAATACGACGTGTTATTTCACTGATCAACACTGGTGTCATACGTTTGGAACGAAGTTTTTTATGAACACAAAGAAAATTTATCTCTACAGTTTCCAATACTCTAAAATCAAATCAAATTAAATCAATCAAAGACATGAAAAATAAATCAAAAATACTTACTTGTCATACACTCGAATAGTAGATGGAATCGCACTGATAAATCCAACTAATTTACCTTTCTTTTTCTGATCCGGTTTATATACACGTACGCCTACAAACCAATCGGGATTCCAACCAGGTGCTTGAAGAACCCAATGAAGAAATTCACGTGAATAATTAAATCGAAACATATTATCATCATCTTCTACATAATTTTCAGCCAACAATGTATATAATTCACACATTTCTTCACCATCAACTTCGTTCAAATTTAAACTAACCCAATGAAAACCTTGCGGTAGATTTAGACATTCTTTAGGAATTTTTTCCGGTTGCATTGGTGGATGAATCGGTGCGTTCAGATCGACAGGAGGATCATCTTCCTTTAGATTTGGTACCGGTTGTGTTTCCCAGAATTCATATTTCTTTTTCAATGCATCTTCACGTGATTTTGGCTGTTCATTACCGGTTCCTCCAATTCCCATTGTAGCAGTTTTTAATTGTAATCGATCAAAAGCACGTTTTAGATCATTATGAATTGCTTCGGTCGAATCTTTCACTGTTGAAGGCTGTGCTGATACATTGCTCGAACTAGAAGATACGGAAGATTGATTGTTGGATTTATTTTTGTGCTTATTTTTTTTATTACTTTTGCTGGAATCAACATCATTCGTGCTAATAATATCACCATTTTCAACAATACTTGTCAATTTTTCATCTTGATTTATCGATTCTGGACCCTGTGACCTGAAAGAAAAATCATCATCATCATTATTATAATTTTAAAATATCATCATATCATCAAGACTTTAAAATCGTTATACAAACTTTTGCGACGAGGTTTCGCTCATTGTCAATTTCGGACAGTAAAAATGTTTTTTAATTTGAAAAAATCCTAGTTTTTTAAAGAATTTTATTTTGCTTTATTAAAAAATAAGCATGTCATCCAAATGAAAAAATTGTTTCGAGTCATACAATGGATAGCCTGTCAATAGATGAGGTAATCATCTGATTTATGCGTAAAACTGGCGTGTTTTGTTTTGAACTAATTTTGAAATTTGAAAAATTCAATTTTTCCATCGAAATAAAATGGCCAATGAATTAATATCAGTTGGTGGTGGCAACGTTCAACAACAACAACAACAAGATTTTGGTCCACGTGTTAAAGGCGCAACGATTGTCAAACCAATCGTATTCGGTAATGTTGCCCGTTATTTTGGACATAAACGTAATAATGGACATACACATGAATGGAAAGTTTATCTACGTCTTTATAATAATGAAGATTCATCTGGTTATATAAAAAAAGTTCAATTTAAACTACATGATTCATATGCAACACAGATTCGTGTTTGTAATGAACCACCATATGAAGTGGATGAAACTGGTTGGGGTGAATTCGAAGTAGTGATCAAAATCTATTTTGTCGATCCATCCGAACGTCCAGTTACCATATATCATATGTTAAAATTATTTAAAATTGAACCCGGTGCTGCACCGGGTGGTGGTCCAATGCCTGTTTTTACCGATTATCTAGTGTCCGAATTCTATGATGAATTAATATTTTCTGAACCATCAACAACTATGATGCAATTATTGAAATCTGCACCACCATTACCACCTAGTATTCGATCACAATTTGAAACTGATTTTGAAGAGAAAAAAAACGAAACATTACAAGCTATATTATCGGCTAAGAATAAGATTGGTACCGAAATTGATGATTTAAAACATCGTATACAGACGGCCAAAGATGAGATTGCTAAACATCAATCAAATCTTATCTAATTTTCATCAATATAATAACAAGTACATACAAACAATTGTTTTTCAAATATTATATTCAATTAATCAATGTAAAAAAAATTAATTAATTAATTAATTTTGATTTTATCACATTCATCAAAATAGAAACAAAAATCTCAATATCAATTTTTTCGTGTCTTGATGATAAAAGTAAAAGTGAATCAGAAAAAAAAATCATTATAAATTGTCAATGCCAATAGCCACCATTTATCTTTTGTTTACACGTCATTTAGTCTGTTGTTGTTTTTGGTGGATGTTTTTTTTGCTGAAAAGCCTAAAACTGAACAGTTGTGAAAAATTATGAAAATCGCTTTTTTCGTCAATTTCTTTTTCATTTTCATCATACAAAATACTGTTTGTCTAGCTGCTAGCAGTTTGCCCACGTTGTATGATTATTATACGAATAATGGACAAAAAATTACGGCCGGTCTCGATGCAAATGGTCCAGAATTCACCTTGAATCATAAACCATTTGTCATATATTCAGGATCTTTTCATTATTTCCGTGTCGTACCTGAATATTGGCGACAAACATTGCAGAAATTTAAAGCAGCCGGTTTGAATACCGTACAGATTTATCTTGCATGGAATCGTCATGAACCACAACCAGGTCATTTTGATTTTGATTCATATGGTTTGAATTTAACGGAATTTTTACATGAAATACGTAATGCTGATATGTTTGCCATTGTAAGACCTGGTCCATATATCTGTGCTGAATGGGATCTTGGTGGTTTTCCAGCTTGGCTTTTGAAAGATCCTCATATGAGTTTACGAACTCCATATGAAGGTTATCTTGAACCAGTACGACGATATTATCGTAAAGTATTCGATATAATCAATGAATTTCAATTCACAAAAAATGGTGGCCCTATTATTGCATTACAAGTTGAAAATGAACTTTTTGGTGATCCAGAAAATATTATTCACAAAAATCGAAGTTTAGAATATCTGGATAAACTACATCAAATGATTGTCGATGAAAATCATTTCAAAGAATTACTATTTACATCTGATCCGGTTTCTGTAGCACGAAGTGTACCGGTTCGATCGTTGAAATATTTATTGGAAACTGCAAATCTTAATCAAAATGCATTGGATTCATTAACACAGCTGAAAAATAATCAAAAAAATCGACCAATTTATGTATCAGAATTTTGGCCCGGTTGGTTCGATCAATGGGGTGAACATTCACATCATCGTTATGCACCATTATTGTTTGAACAACAAATCACAGAAATTCTTTTCCAAGTGAATGGTTCAGTAAATTTTTACATGTTTATTGGTGGCACAAATTTTGCCTACTATAATGGTGCTCGTGTTACAACATCATATGATTATGATGCTCCATTATCGGAATCGGGAAATTATACGGAAAAATATTATAAAACACGTCAATTATATGATAAATTAGTGGCATCTGGAAGACAACCAGCGATTGCAATTCCAACGAATCCACCACCAGTAGTACGGGCTAAAGCATATGGTCATTTAGCCATGAAAGAATATCTTGATTTCGGACAAATTATTGACCAATTAAAACCGGTCATCATGAAACAACCATTATTCATGGAATTTATTGATAATTCATCTGGTTTTGGATTTATATTGTATCGATTGAAAACAAAACCGATCCATACTTTTAATATAACTGGTAATTATAAACATTTTGATGATTTTGACTAATTATTCGATTTTTTTTCCCGATTATTAGGACCAATCAAAGATCGAGCCATAATAATGATTGATGGTAAAATTTTAACCAAAATTGAAGATGGTGCTAAAAATCTAAATATTCATTTAAATCAAACGGAATGGTTCGTTAATCCGAATGGTGAATATACTGTGGATATTTTAGTGGAAAATCTTGGCCGTGCAAATTGGGGCACTTCTTTGATGGACACGGAACGTAAAGGAATAAATAGCACAATATTATTTGATGGCAATGTTTGCAATGAAATTCATACCTATACATTTGATTTGAATGAAAATTTTATGAATCATACAGCACAATTGAAATGGAATCAATTCCTTCATGACAATGATGATAAACAAAAACGACATGGTCCACGATTATATCGAACACGATTATCAATATCTAATACAACCGATACATTTGTGGAATTACCAGGATGGACATATGGAAATGTTTTTGTAAACAATTTCAATATTGGTCGTTTTGATCATCGTGGACCACAGAAAACATTATACATTCCTGGTCCATTATTACGAACTGGTGATAATGTATTCCATGTATTTGAATTGGATCCTCGCCATGATTCGACACAAATTGAATTGATTGATTATCCAAAATTGGAATAAATAAATAAATAATAAAATTTTATTATTTTCTAAAATATTTTTCACCAATATTTTGTAAATTTCCAACGAGTTTATTGACAAAGATTTCGACATTTTTTGAATTGTCTTTAATTTGATATTTGACCATTTTTTTCATACGTTTTGTTGGTATCGATTGTATGATGGATTGATCATCATCATCATCAATATCGTTGATTGCCATTTTAAACCACGAGTGAGCATCCAATTTTGATTGAAATGTTGATGGTACTGATAATTGTATTTGAAAACAGTGATTATGATTAGATTTCATTATCAACGCTAATGGATTATGGCCATAAAGATCGAGACCAATTTTCATTAGAAAATTAATGGAATTTGCACAATAATTTGGTAGAAAATCAATATTCATTACAGGAACAATGGTATAATGGTCACCTTTTAACATTTGTTTAGTTGTTTCCAATTGAAAATGTTGAATAATTTCTTCAAGAATTTTATTTGATTCATTTTCCAATTCAATTAATTTCAATTCAATTTGTTTGAATTTCGTTTCAATTTCATTGGTATGTAATCCAAAACGTTGTGATAATGACGAATCATTTGTAATTAATGCTTGAACATTTTGTAAATCTTTACGTATTTGATCAATTGCATTTTGATTTTCAAGAAAATTTTTTGATAAAGATATTCGAATTTCTTCAATATGACCATCGATTCTTTCCATACAATCGATTATCACATGTTGATTATGATCATAATTTTCATTGATTTCTATTTGTAATAATTTAGCATATTTCATTATGCTAGTATTTCTTGCAATTGCCGTTGAATATAAAACAATTCTTCGTTGATAATTCGGAATATTTTCATTGATTCTTGTTCAAGTTCAGGAAATGCTTCACCAAGAATTTTGACTGTTGTATCGGCAGCTACATGAAATACATCAGTTTCTGTAACATTTGATGGCAATTGTTGAATACGTGTCATTGTTTTCAATGAATCACTAGCACGACGAATAACACGTCGAAGTAGATAACCGACACCACGATCTGATGGTTCAATACCATCAGCAATGGCAATGGAAATCATTCGAGAATGATCAGCTATTATACGATAGGCAATATCTTTTTCATCCATCAATCGATATGAATATTCGGGCCATTTACATAGATTTTGTAATCGTAAAAAATACGGTGTAAACAAATCGGTTGCATAATTATTTGGAACATTTTGTACCAATGAAAGAATTCGTTCTAAACCCATACCAGTATCAACAAAATTTTTCTTTAATCGTTTAAGATTTCCATCATGATCACTGGAAGAAAGAATGAAATTTTGAAACGATTAAAATTTTTGATTTGAAACAATCAAAAGCAAAATATACCGAAAATATTGTATAAAGACTAGATTCCAGATTTCCATTGAATTGTCCAACATGAATTGTTTATAGTTATCATCATTATCTGGTTCTTGAATTAAATAATGTATTTCTGTACATATTCCACAAGGGCCAGTTTGTCCCATTTCCCAGAAATTATCTCGCATACCTAATGATAGTATTCGATTCTTCGGTACCCTGACGGTGATGATTAAATAAATTGATTAATTGAAAATTACAGCAAATTATTAGACATTTACCCAATTGAACGCCATATTTCATATGTTTCTAAATCTGTCTCCAGACCCAATTGTTCATTTCCGGCAAAAATTGTAACAAATAATCGTCGTGGATCAATACCATAAACTTTTGTTAAAAGATTCCATGCCATTTGACATGCATCATTTTTAAAATAATCATCGAATGACCAATTTCCTAGCATTTCGAAAAATGTATGATGAGTAAAATCATTTCCAACAGTTTCCAGATCACAATGTTTTCCACCAACACGAATACATTTTTGTGAATTTACCACTCGACGTAATCGTTTTAACTTATCATCAATAATATCTTCATTTAAAAATATCGGTTTAAATTGATTCATACCAGCATTCACGAACAATAATGATTGATCATTTTGTGGTTTTACCGGGCTTGAACGAAAAAATTCATGTTTATGTTCATTGACAAAATAATCGATAAATGATTGTCTACATTGATTTGATGTTAATATTTTTGAATTATATGATGGATCATAATTCACTGTTGAAAATCTTTGTTGTTTGATCATGGTTTTCCATGTTTGTTGCAGAATTCTTGGTTTCATATTTTTCTTTTCGTTTGTTTTGTTTGTTTATTTTCACAGAATTTTTCAAATCACATGGTTCGATACAAATTCTTTTTCCCATAAACCATCAGATGGCGTTCAAATTGTTGAAAACATTCGATATTTTTTTTCACATTCTTTCATGGTCCTGGATGTTTTCAATATTTTTTTTGTTTTGTTTTGTTTTGTTTTATTGCCGAGATCAATTTGAAAATATTCAGATTGTCATTATCGGTCAATTTCACAATTGACAATCATTCTATATGCATCATCGAACATTGGACAATGGCAAACAATAAACGTCAAAAAAAAATGTTTGACCAACTTCGTGATCATCGGTTTTTGTCTCCATTTTTTTTTTTGTTTTTGTTTGAATATACCAACCCCGTATGGCTATCCGTTATTTTTGCCATATCAGTGTGACCATTGTGTTTTTATTTCTTCTTTCGTTCATTTCGTCGTGTGTCCTTTTTTCTGTAGCAAGAAAATTAATAATCATCATTCATCCTTTCCTGTTCAAGTTGTTGTTGTTGTTGTTATTGTGTTACATGCATATAAATTTTTTTTTCGAAATGAAAAAAAATGACAGGTCATTCAAAAGAAAAGAAGAAAATTTTTGCCAAATCTCAAAGCAAAGCAAAAAAAACTTGTTTTCTGTAAAGTGAACTTTGAATTGAATTGAATTGAATGGAAAATGAACAAAGTTGTTGTTGTTGTTGTTATTTTTCATTTTCTTTACACACGGTCATGATGATGATGATCATCATCATACAACGTTTCTTCATTATTTTTCTCTTCAACTTGTGATTCGAACAACATGATGATGATGATGGCATTAAAAGAAAAAACGATCAAGTTGATCGACAAGTTTATATCATACACACACACACACAATGGTGTTCTAGTTTTTGTTTTTGTTTATTTTTATCGCCAAGATTTTCTTCATTCTTTATCTATAAAGAATCAAATATCATCATTCGTTTGTTTTGGCCATTCCATTTCACACAATAAGCAAGAAAATTGTCAATTGTGCTGCTGTTTACTGTTGCTAATTAGGCAATCATCAAGATTTATATGAACACAATGGGCACAAGTACGTTAATTTAAATTGACAATTATAATTTAATTTTCCAATTTTGTATTGAATGTGACGGCAATAAATTGCTATAGAAAAAAAAATGTGAACAGTGTGTTTTAGAGAATGGAAAACAAGAAAATTTAATTATCCAGAATGGTTGACTGAATGAATGGTGAATTGCCGAAAATTGATTTCATTTAGCAGTTCAAACATCGATTTTTCCGGATTTGTTTTGTTTTGTTTTTTTTTTTTGCTCTTCATTCCCATCCAAGATTGATGAACGTGATCATCATCATCATTCATCATTTATTCACATTCATTCACAATTTGAAATGACAACAACAACAATGTGTGTGAGTGTGTGAATGGTAACATATTTTAGTTGTAATGAAAACACACATCTACGAATCAATGTGGTTGTTGTTGTTGTTGTTGTTTGTTTCATCATCATCATTCTATAAATAGCTATAAAGAATTTTTTTTCCAACTTTGAAAGTTTAGTAGCAAAAACTGTTGTGAACAAAGTAAAGAATTTTAAATATCCAAAAATAGAAACAGAATATGTCACCAATAATGATGATCACATAGTTTTTTTTTTGAAAATTTTCTTTGATGTTAGCACACAGCAATAGAAAGTGAATCAAGAAAGATGAAAGATTTTCTCGTCATTTATGGATTGAGCCAACAAAACAATGAAAATTCCAGTGTGTGTGTGCCTGTAACCACCACCACCACAACCATATCCACCACTAAATCCCATTGTAATGTATAAGTCGGGCAATAATTCTTGTAGAAAAAAAATGAAGGAAATGAAATGTCCATTAAGATTTTTTGACATTTATTCGTGACAATCATTCTTACTAACACGCACTTTATGTCCAACTAATGTGCGGGGTAGTGTGTAATATATTTGAGTCGTAAAAAAAAGAATGGCTAAAATGATGTCGTAACCGGAATATAAACAAAATTCGCCCAAAGTCCTGTGTGTGTGTCAAGTGCCAACTTTTTTTCTTTCATTCTTTCTTTCGTTTTTTTTACGAATTTATTCAGAAGATCAATTCGGTAATAGTAGCTATTATACTTACGGCTTTAGAGGTTTTATTTTTTCGGTACCGAATTTTTTTTCTGGTTTCTATGACTGTGTTATTTGGGATCGACTCAATGATTACAATTTTCACTATTCCATGACATTGTTGTTCATTGTTGAATTCAACTCACACACACACACACATAGATACACGCGGGATGAATCCACTAATACTACTGTGTGTATGGTTCACATGTTTGTTGTCTGTTGTGTATCCTGGGTTCACATTCTGTATGTTTCTGGATCCCATGTGGATCTATGAATTCCATTTTCTGTTTCTGTTTTTTCCCCTCTTCTTTTTTCTTTTTTTTTTGGTTCGGTTTGTGTTCGATTTTTCGATTGCGTGCTGCTTCTGCTTGTTATTTTTTTTTCATCTACAGAATCTACAAAATAATGGAATTGGCAAGTTTTTTTTTCTCTGTACATTATCATGGAATCAAAATGGAACAGAATTCAGAAAATTTATACACACAAACACGAATCTGCCACGTCATGACATGATACACACACACACACATACAAAATTCCTAATCGACTGTAACGATAACGAATTCCGTTTGGAATCGGTAGTTTTATCCTATTTTTATACCATCTACGATATTATCATTCACAACAGGAGGTCAAATTATCTTGATCAAAATGGTTTAGATTTTTTTTTCTCATCCATCTCAATCTTGTTTCTTATGCATTTGAAAAATCGATTTTTTTTCAAAAAAAAAATTTCCGAAAATTTTTTCCCGGAAAATTTCCCAACAATTGCTATAAAACAAGAAAAATGAATCTAATCACATAAGAATCAAAATAGTGATTTTATCTGTAAAAACACCATCAATCTGATTTGTTGTTGTTGTTGTTGATAAATGTGAAAAACGGTCCAATGGGAATATGAACAACAACAAAAAAAAATTGCCAAATCCATTTTAACCTCGAGCTATTTGTTCTTTACAATATCATCATCTATTTCCACCTCTATGGTTGGGATATATAGGTGATTTTATTTCTCCATTTTTTCCGTTCGATGTCATTGTTCTATGCAAAAAAAATTTATCGATTATTCAACAGAATTATCGTTGTTATTATTATTAATTATTAAAATGGTTGTGTATCGAAATTTTTTTGCTTTTTTTTTCTCACGCATCGACTCACAACAAATATTGGTGCACCATTTTCATACTATGCTGTGGTACTTGTATTGTATGAATTTTTTTTTTTTTTTGCAAATGGTTTTTTTTCACTATTTTTTTCTTTTACAATTAATAAATTACGATAGATCAAAACTCTCAAACAAATCTATTTTGCCACCATGATAATCATCATCAATGATGATGATTGATCTGATGATAACTGATGATGGTTTTTGTATTTCAGTGATTTTATTATTAATCCCAGACAGCTAGATTATCCATCTGTCTGGTATTTTTTTTTTTTTTTTCGTTGACAATGATGGCATTTTTTTTATTGTCTCATTTATAGTTTCACATTGCAAATTTTTTGTTTCAATCCAAAAAATGGAAATATTTTCCATAGAAATTATCGTTGATCACAATTGATGATTGAATAATAAAATCTGGATTTATTTGGCCATTTTTTTCATATTATAGTTTTTCTTTTCTCATCACGGATGTCATAAATCATTATTTTTTTTGTTTGATAAAATTTTCTCCTGGTTTGATAACAAAAATCCTGATTGCCAAAAGTTAAATTAATTCAATGTCAAGTTATCATTATTTTACAGTACAAATAAATTAAATTAAATGATGATGATGATGATGATTGCTGTAACTGTGTCTATGAATGATCCTTCAATGTACATACATACCGGATTTTTGCAAAATTGTTGTTTCAATATCATTATATATATATTGGTTGGTGAACAGAAAAATTGAAAAAAAATTCATGATTCCCGCCATCATCATCGTTTTTATTTTTTATTTTATTTATCCACCAAAAACATATAAACTAGTGTAGAACACACATAGAAAAACGCACACACACACACACACACATACAATACACACACAAAATCATTTGAATGGGTGGAGTTTTTTTTTCCCTGCGTATATTTCCACCGTATAGCCTTAATGACTTCTGTGCTGTGTATATACACACATGTCATGCCATGCCTGCAATGTGTGTGTGTGTGTGTATGTTTTGTCTACTGCTTGTGAGCTTTATGTGAGTGTATGTTATATGAAAAAATTTTCTAGTATTTCAAGTGTCAGAGTTTAACCAGTGATTATTGATTGGTTAGATGGTTAATTGGTTAATCGATTATTCAAAGCTATTGTTATCAGTAATTAAATGCAATTGGTCATTAAATAAAATATATTAAAATTAAAATTTATCAATAAATCATTTGAATATGGTCAGTTTGTGACAATTTAAAGATATGAGAAAAAAAAAAAATACAATGAAAAAATATAAACAAGAATTGTGAATTTGTTATGATTAATCAAAAAATCAAACCACACTCTGCTACCAATTGTTGAGATTGATAACACGAAATTCTTTCAATTCCAATGATGTGAATGTCAATATTGATTTCATTACAGAATAATAATATTTGACGTGGGATTACTTTGTTGATATGAAAAATAGGACAAAAAATTACTGAAACAATTTTTGACTTTGAAATTGTTGATTGATATGAAGTTTGACAAAAAATAATTGTTCAAATTCATCATTCAGAATGAGAATCGCTTGTTTCCAGTGAATTTTGTATGAATACAAAACCAAATTTGATCTATGAATTTAGCGAATTCTTTTACCTATGAACGAGATAAAAAAAAATTTTTCAGTTACATCTAATATTAGTATTGAAAATTGGTGTCGAATACTTACAATTAGGAATGTTTTTATTTCATCACGCGACATTCTTCCGACTGTTCATTGTGATTCGTTCAATAACTTTCGATCTTGTCATGTTATTCAATTCGAAATTTGGACATCCATTTTAATGAACTTGACTTGATGATCGTGTTCTGTGTTCTGTGTGTGTGTGTGTGTAATCTGTGTGTCTGAATCGGAATTGACGATTGGAAAACATGCTCGTTTTTCTCATCAACATTCTCGGTTGAAATAGAAAAGAGTTAAAATAGGCAAGACTACTATACAAAGTAGTAATTGAATTATGAAATATACAAGGGAGTCTGTTCGTAAATACCATAACACAATAAAGTATTTGATGAAGCAATCTTAAGCATCACTAAAAAAAAAAAATATAACGACATGAAAAACTTGGTGACAAAAAAAATTAAGCTGCTACTCTAATTTTGTTTGATAAAAGATTGTATGTATGAAAAAAAATGTGATTCGGACTTTTGAAAACAAACGATTTTTATTATTATTTTAAGACAAAAAAAGAATGTGTAAAAATGTGTTTTTGAGTTGTTCACAAAAAAAACTGTTCATATAGGACATTCTTTATGCTGCAAACGGTCTTTTTTTCTAGGGAAAGACGTCATGATTATTTTTGTCATTACCAATTTCAATTTTGACGAATGTATCCGCGGTCGTGTACGATACGAAAAAATATATAATTTGTTTGGATGCCAGATTTGGAACAGGGTCTAGTTGGTTGTTTATTAACCAATTGTTTAACCAATTTTCTTTTATTGAAATTTGGCAAAATCCACTCTACATTCTTCAGTGTAGGATTAACATTGAAAAAGAAATGTAAAAAACGGCATTGATTGACGTAATAGTTGAAATTTTTTTAATTTCAGATAATTTTGAATTAGATGAAATTGAAACAAATAATTCACGAAAGGACAGCCAATTTTTCTTTTTTCCCCATCAAATTTAATGGTAACTTTCGGCATATTACGACCAGTATGATCTTGATTTTCGAATCAAAAATCCCATATCACCTTAATTTTAGCAACATACGATTTGATCATTTTAATTGTATCTTCTTTATTGTACATAGACACCAAGGAATCAATCAATTTTTTCTTCAATAAGCATATTATATTCTTCACAAATTGCTTATTTCGATCCACTCTTTTCTTGCATACATGGCAAGGTACGAGATTCCACCCCATGGTAGAATTTTGTGATCGTTCCACGAATCACTGACAATTTACTCTTGGCACTAGTTGTCTACAATGTAAACTTTACATGATGGTCATTCAAAATCAAAATAAATTTTTTTCAAGAAAATAACAAATTAGCAAATAAACAAGAATGAAATAAATTGAGCACGTGTTAACTCAAAGTGAGCAGAAAATAGAATAAATTTATTTTTTGAACCTTCATCAATGTCATACAATACAAAATAATAAATACAATATTGATTATTCAGAAATGACGTTATAACAAAGACAAAACATTTTTCTTTCTAACAAGCACCACGTGAACACCACCTACCGAAAATCCGGTGTTATTAGCGCTAGCTGACCACGTTCATAGAAAACGTTACCACCGTTACAGCAATAAATAATTTCCATTTTGGGGCCATGTTCCATGCACAGTGATGCCTATAGCCTGATCAATTAGATTTTGTACTGAATTTTGCTGCTTGTGGTTTCTCCAAAATATTTATTTGTTACATCCGTTTGAATTTTGTTTCAATTGTTTCCGGTAATTTCTTTTCAACAAATGGATCATCAACAATGACCACCAACAAAAAAAAAAAACAAATAACCAAGTTAAATTATATAATCTAAAGCACTATAAGGAGGTTCTGGCGATCATTATGAACTTTTCTTTGCTTTGCTACTTGCTTGTGTTATATTCAGTCTTAATACGTTAGTTTATCAGGTTATGGGCATCACTGTGCATAGAACATGGTCCTAAAATGGAAATTATTTATTGCTGTAACGGTGGTAACGTTTTCTATGAACGTGGTCAGCTAGCGATAATAAATTTATTCTATTTTCTGCTCACTTTGAGTTAACACGTGTTAACATGGCCTCTTCATGCATCTTTTTACTGATTCAACGTATTTGAAGATGGTTATTTGAAATTTTGAGTGCGTTTTGAAAAGTCAAGACTTATGGAATGTGATACAAGATGATTATCCTGTTATGTCAAGAGAATCAAGAATGTTCAAAGCAAAAATGATTTTTTATCGAAGTCTCTGGATGATATAAATCATCAACGAATCATTGGATGTCAAATGACCGAATCATATGTTCAAGAAACTGAGATTGTTTCACGAAGGAAATTCTACAACGTCAATCGCTAAACTGAAACAAAAATTTTACGAGATATCTTGAGACTGGTGACGTTAGGGGAAACGTTTAGTCAAATACGTTGGTTTAACAAAATGCATGGATATTTTTTTTTTTTGAAACGAATCTAATTCTGTTCGATGATGTACATGATATATGGATTCTGGTTGGCAAAAACAACGATCCAAAATACACAACGTCATCATCATTTTGTTTTGTTTTGTTTTTAGTCTGAAAATTGAAATCTATAATGTTGGCCAACAAAAAAAACGTGAACACGCACACACACACACACACTGAAAAATTTTTAATTGAATAAAAATCATTTTTCTATTGCTAACATATTCATATCGTCAAGAACTGCAACTTTGATGTTTTTTTTTTTTCATGGTTATTGAATTTGAATTCAATTTTTTTACGCTCGATAAATCGATACACACACATACCATACATTTGTTTGTTTGTTTGTTTTTGTAGAGCTTCTCATTCATCATTCATTCAATTTATTCCAACAACAAATCATCATTGTGTATAATGCCATCAAATGGAATGATCATCATCATCATCAATGATGATGGGCAGACTTGATGGCGCTTTGGCTTCAAGCGATTTTAAATTGATGATGATGATGATGATGACGACAACGACGACGACTATACAACTACAACGAATATATTTCAAAATGATGATCATGGATGATGATGATGGCAAACATTAGAAGGCCATCATCATCATCATCATCATCATCATGGTAACCAATTGCCAGGGCTAAATTTTTTTTACTTCTTGCTTGATGGTGGGCATTAATCACACACACACACACTGATGATGATGATGATGATGATGTGAAAGAATGATATATAGAGGGACAACAGCTGTTTTTTTCTTTGTTTCCATTTCGCATATTACAAAATATTTATTAAAAAAATGAAAAAAAAAATTTCATTCAATCAATTCAATGAATCACAGGTGTAATTCTTAATGCAGTACACACAGTCGCACATATGACACACCTCTTTTCAGAATGTAATTTTATTTATTAATGACCCATAATATCAAAAGTTGATATTTAAATTGGCTGCAAAATAAAAATAAAAAAACATCGCTATCACTAGCCTGTATCTATCGATTTAATCTCATGTAATATATACATAAATCGTTGGACAGCCAGCCAGCCAGCCACCACCCAGTTTTTCCATTGCACAAACCTACATACACACACACACACATCATCAATATCAACTTGTGAATGAACTAATAAGTGAACCAAACGAAATGAAATGAAATGAATTGCAAGCAGAAGCAGCCATTCACTGGCATATTCATCAATAAACATCATCATTTTTTTTTTTTGGTTTTGGTCTTGGTTTTATCTTTTATATTCAATCGAAATGTTTTTTTTTTTTTTTTTTTTGTTATCCACGTTTCTCTATAGTATTTTGTGTTCGTCTGTGTGTGTGTGTGTGTACACTGTGGATTGTGGATGTAGTGTGTTAGTTGACAAGTAGTTTGTTAATTCAAAAAAAAAATGAAAAAGGGGGCTACCATTCATTCACTCGACAAGTCACAAATGGATGACCATAGCATTTTTTTTTTTTTTTTTTTTTGCAACAACATGACGATGCTATTTTGATTGGCGCTTTGCCAAATTTTTTTTTCTGGCTTCGTTTCTACATTCATTCATTCATCATCACTTATTATTATTAATGGCGGGCGTTTTTTCTTTTCTATCGATTCAAACGAAATAATGATGTGATGTGTGCACCTCAATATCGAATTATTTTTGAAAATTTTCTAAAAAAACAAAAACCAATTACTATGATGATGGAATCTACTACTACTGGTTTTTTTTTCGTTCGTTATGTACAATCTGTCCAATTTTTGTCTGTTTCTTCGGTTTCTTGTCACAAGTTGCCCATTCATTTAAATCATTGTCAATTTTTAGTTTCCTTTGGTTGATTTGCGTTAGCGTTAGTTTTTTTTTTTTTCTGGTTAGGTTGTGGTGTGTGTGTGTGTGTGTGTGTGTGTGCATATGTGTTTGTATGTTTGTCCTCGATTATAGCATTCGCGTATCTATCAAAATTAAAATAAAATAAAAAAATTCAGCAATAACAATCATTTTTCCATTCCATTCCATTCTTTTCTTTGCTTGCTTGATTTCCCTCTACATAGACACACAACACACACAACACACACAACACAAAAGATCTATTTCCAACACATAAAACTAGCTTTTTAATTTTCTCTTCTCAACATCCACCTCACCACCACCACCACCATCATCATCTTTCACTTTGTTATCACTGTCCACCCTGGTACTGATCTAAACCAGCCATCCTGAACACACACACACACACACACACACACCACACCAAAAAAAAAATCTCCATCTCTTTTACACGCACAAAATGGCAATCAACCAAACGAACGAACGAAAAAAAAAATGTCAGATCCAAAATTGAGTGTTTCAACATTAACAACAGCGGCCATCCTTCAAAGACCAGGCTGATTTTTTTTGTTGTTGGCCAGGGCCAGATAGTGGTGGTGGTGGTGGTGGTGGATACAACCATTTTAAATTCATTCAAAATATAATGGTCGGTGGAGTTGTAAAATTTTTTTTTTCTGTGTGTTTATTAACAACAACAACAACAACAATGATGGCGGCAGCAGGCCACGATAACGACAACATGATGTGACTCGTTTTTTTTTTTCGTACACACTTGTGTTTATATTGCAAATGTAAAATTATACATGGCTATATTATATTTATAAGGACAATAAACTATTTTGATTGTAT